CTAGGGAACGTCCGTAAATATGAATATTGAATCAATTACTCAATAACACTTAAGTGTCAGTTTGACTTATAGACGTAAGTCTCACAGGTCAATCTCGTCTTACTCCAATCTTGCAGGGATTTTTTTTTCTGCAAGATAAGTCCTAGACCGTTTTTGTCAACACTAATTAACATTCTAAAGGAAGGAGATGGTCCGGGGTGGTGGCGTTCATAAATAGGCTAAATAGTGGCAAAAGTATTTTATTAAAAGCCAACGTTTCGACCCGACTTTGCGGGTCTTCTTCAAGGAGGTGTGTTCAGCTAGGAGTTCAACTTAGAACTCGCGTAGTTCTAAGACCTGCAAAGTTGGGTCGAATCGTTGGCTTTTAATAAAATACTTTGGCTACTATTTAGCCTATTTATGACCGCCACCCCGTACCATCTCCTTCCTTTATAATGCAACGGTCAGTTATTAAATATTCAATTATTAACATTCGATTAGTCTTTTCATTTTTACTATAAAACTTCTTAAAAAATTTACACATTTTTTATATCCTATATCCTATTTATTCATTAGTGACTAGATTTAAAAAAATATTTTATATTCGAATTTTAAGTTGAAAATATGTATACACAAAATTAGTTATTGTTAAAGAACTCACAATCGTAGAAGGAAAAACAAGATGGAATTTTTAATTAATTTTTTTATCTTACACAATAAGAGAACAAAATTTAGAGGTGAAAATAATGAATGAAATAATGAAAATAGAAGTGGTACAGACCCCTTTTTATTAAATTATTGATCTCCACCTGTAACTTCGTGAATAGCTTCATCTCATGGTAATCTACAACTATTTTATTTTCAAAACTTTTGGAATGGTGTGTTTACAAACTGGAGGGGGGCAAAGTTTATGTATATAATTAGTTTTTAAAAACTCGTTAATACCTATTTGCTTTCCACTTGGATCGTAAGATACTTTGATCACCAAACCGAGAAAAAAGGTGGCTTAGAAATATATTTGGTCGTTTGGCATATACAACCTTGTTATTTTGACATTTTGGGGGTGTAGGTGACAACAAACGGCTCAATATTTTTAAAGGCTACCTTTTTTTCTCTATATCGTGCTCAAATTATCTTACGATAGAAGTGGAAAGTAAGTGGATTTTTACGAGTATTTAGTATCTAATTAAATAGACAAAGTTTGCCGATCTCCAGATTGAAAATGACCCAATTCCTAGAATTTACGTAAAAAAAATAGTTGTAGGTTACGATGAGATGAGGCTATTCACGAAGTTTCACGTGGATGTTAATAATTTTATAGAAAGTTGTCTGTACCACGGACTATTATTATATGCTCCCTAGAAAATGGGGCAGAACCAAGTTTTAAATTTCCATTCATAACGTGAAGAAATAGTTGGTTCTCATAAGAAAACCTCTATTGAAGTATTAGTCGTTCCATGAGATCTTTGGTGCATCTACTTGTCCATTTTTTTCTACGGCACTCCTCTCGAGAGCCTTTCTGCTGAAATTCTTCGAGTTTAAAATTTCTTTATACTTAGCTGAATGAATTATATAGAAATACCTCCGTAACTATCTGCCCTTTTATCCTCCCATCAACTTCCGTGACGCGATAAATCAGTAAGCTGCTGTGGAATACAAAGAATGCAGACGGACGGGATAATTAATCCAAAACTTGGAAGACGGGAGCGATGACCTGCCTGTTGACGGTCTCTTCTGGCCATAAATTTGGATTTGGCATATTTTATGTAACACGGTTTAATTTTTTATCCGAAATACCTGTTTATTTTTTTTTCAATGAAAAATCGTCATTATTAGTCGGACAAATGACTATTGTGTATTCCAGGTTATTGTATAGGTACATAATTGTGGATTGATGGTTAACTGTAGTGATTTTATTGAAGACAAGATTGGTTGTGGTGATCAGTAAAAAAAAAAGTAAAAATAAAATAACTATATTTATTTTAATTTTTGGCGTCATTTCGGCCCAAAGTTTAGGCTTTCATCACGGCTAAGAAAAAAACAGATAACATTAGGTATGAGGAACTATTAACATTAAACAGAAAACCTCACCAGACTGAAACGACTAAAAACCGCCCGACGTTTTCGACTACTGCAGCACTTACTAGACAAACGCTCTAAACTTTCAACTATTTACAAAAAACTCATATATATTACTACAATAAGGCCTATTTGGACTTACGTGATCGAGCTTTGTGACTCTATTAAACCATCAAATTCCTCTCGTATCCCATCCTACAATCCAAAATCCTTCCTAAAATCCTCAATGCTCCTTACTTTGTCACCAATGAAATCATCCATAACGACCTTAATGAACCATATGTTTCCGATTTAGCTCAATCCAGATACCTATTCTTCCATAGTAAACTTCTGAACCATCCGAACCCTCTTGTTTCCAACCTTGGTTCCTCTTCCTGATAACCCTCTGAGGTGTCTGAAAAGAAGATTGCCTCGGGACCTTCTAATGTAGAATATAATTGGAGTGCTACCAATGAATAGCTTCTCTTCATGTTACGTTTTTCATATTTATTTGTTGTATTTGTCCTTTAATACAGTTGTAAATTTCAATAATAAAAAAATTAAAAATAAAATGTTTAATAGTTTCTTATACTTATTATCTGTTTTTTTCTTACCCCTAATCTGTCCTTGGGCCGAAACGTCGGCAAAAAAAAAATATACTTATTCATTTTTACTTTTTTTTTATTGATTACCCCAATCAATATTCTCTTTAATTAAAGTGGTACTCTTTTCTTCAGATAGATTTGTAGGAATGTCAAAAGATGTCTTAATAAATCTTGACTATTCTGAAAAATTTTTAGCTTTGCTTTTAAATACTTGAAGTTTTCAAAAGCAGTTGAGAATGAAATGTCGTCAGAGCCTGATTTCGTATTCCATCTGCGTTAGATGAGTATTTTAAAGTCCCCAAGGACTCATTAATAGTCTACGGTAGACTATTGCGAAGAATGGATAACCGCCTTGTTAAAGCTCTCTTCTTCAACGACTTCTTCCAGAAAGTTCGAGATTTAAATGGTGAGGGGATAAAACTCATTTAATGTAGAAAAATATTTCGTGCGGAAGATGAAAAAAAAAAAAGTACTCAAAATCGAAGATCTTCACTGACCTTTTACGTTTTGAACATCATGTCGATAATAAAATCCATGTGACCTGCATTTTATCATCAATCTATTCTTGGTCAATTTCATCTATTGCTTGTGGATGGACAGTCGTATTATGATCCACCAGTAGTATCAGGAATGGCTCGTTTCATTAGGCTACAAGTTGTAGGAAAGTTTTGTATTATCTTCTATGAAATTCATCAAATTTGACAATGGGATATGAACTCCCATGAACATTTTTAAACCTTATGCGATTTTTTAGAAGTTATTTTATTTAATTTTAAAGCCAATCATAATCTTAATAAAGTGTATCCGTAAGGGCCTATTTTCTGCTAATGCATTAAAATTGTTGACGAAGTTAAACTGATTTGAGTGATAATTGTTAAATATATTTAAATAAATGATTAAATTATGAATTAAATCTTCAAAATTTGAATGTTGTAATTTGGTTTAAATTAGATAGCGTGTTTCCAGATCAAACGCACAAACTTAAAAGTTCAATTAAGGACCTCAAAAAATAGTTCTAGAATTATGTTCGCATAAGCTTTTTATTGACTTCTAAAGTTACAGAATTAGAGAAATGAATGATGTCGAAATTGATATTGTTTTGAAGGTTATTCATTGTTCGTTTAATGATTTGTTGTCATGGAATAAATCATGCCAATTTATTTTATATTATTTAGGTGTAGAGTAGCTCAGTGAGTTAGACACTGGGCTGCTATGCTCTGGGTCCCAGGTTCGAACCCGGCTGTTGCTGATAATTTATCAGTCATGGATTGACCTGAGGTCGAGAGACCCTCCTGGAGCAAACCCAGGCTATATAAAATGGATAATTTTAATTAAATATTTATTAAGAGAAAAAACTTGGTGGTTAAGCGTGATCACGTCCTTGCACAACCGTACTTTCTAACATAGTACTTTACTCAAATTCCTTCATTGGGTTGTTTTTTATTTATTTTGGGTTTTTTGGCGAAATTTATTAATCCTGCTCTTTTTACCTAACAAAATATTACTAACACATATCAGTATTCTCCTTAAGATCTTGGCGGCTGAGGAAGACTGGATTATTTAATGTGTTTCCTCGCACTAATGCAGTTTTTAATGAAAAAAAATATCCATCATATTGCAGCAGCATTTTTACCGAAACCCATTAACAAGTTCCGAAAATCTGGTTCTGAATTAAGAATTTCACCCACAGTCAAATGGAAGACATTTTAAGCTGATGGACGTCATCCACATAATCCACAGACGTGTCCAGCATTTATTACCTGCTGATATACCTCGCAGAAAAAGATTTTTGTGATTTGTTTTTATATCAATCAAATATTAATCTATGGTTTTGGCAAAACATTTTGTGACCAAGTAGATAAAGTCATATTTGGTCACGTCAGAATCTTGAGGAATCATTGAATATTATTTTTAAAATACGTCATTTTCATTGTTATGTGTGGGTCTTATTTTTTATCTGCTCACTCTATCGCCAATGGATTTCTCGTATTTTTACACATGAATGTTATGTTTTTTTTGGGGGGAAATGTACCTTGGAATTAGCATTGCTGGTTTCAATTGCAATTTTTCTATAACATCGGTGGTTTTGGACTCCTTAATTGTCTTTAATCACTAAACAAAAGATGGTGCAAGTATGTGAACAAATTACAGATGTTAATATCGGCTAACCACTCATTCTTTTATCTATATGTGCAATAGTTATCTCCAAGCTAGAGGTCATCAATTAGAACAGAATAAAAATAATTAAAGACCATAAAAAATATGTCTAAAAACGTCATTTTTATCATTAAAAAGCTATATAGTCAAATTTATTGGTTAAAAATTATTTTTTCTAATTCTAGCAGATTACATTTTTAACGTAACATTTGCGAGCATATTACTCGAAGAAAATATATTTTATTTTGAGATATTTTAATATTTTAATTATAATATTTTAATTTTTACCATTTAATCCTTGAAACACCCTTTATATTTACTACTGTAATCATTGTAACCTTCCTCTATTTTTGATAACAGTCGCCATATGGCTATCCTGTACGCTAGGGTTCCTCAATACAACTCATATGTTTATACGTGTGTTAACTAACCTATTAATGTTACATGTGAACTAAACTTATTCCAAGTCGTTCTTTAGGATATGAATACTGAATACGATTATCTGCTGAAGTTGCTTCTCATCGGCGATTCCGGAGTCGGTAAGTCATGCTTGCTCCTCAGATTCGCGGATGACACCTATTCCGAATCTTATATCAGTACAATCGGAGTCGACTTCAAGATTCGTACGATCGAACTCGAGGGAAAGACTATCAAACTTCAGATCTGGGACACTGCCGGCCAAGAACGGTTTCGCACTATAACTTCGAGTTACTACCGAGGAGCCCATGGGATCATCGTCGTCTACGATTGCACTGATAGAGTATCCTTTGAGAACCTTAAAGTTTGGATGGAAGAGATACAGAGGTTCGCGTCGCCCGATGTGAACAAACTGCTAGTAGGTAACAAAGTGGATCTGTCCGATAAGAGGCAAGTTAGCGAGGAGGAGGCGGCGGAACTGGCGGCGAAGTATAAGATACCGTTCATGGAGACGTCTGCGAAGAGCGGCAATAACGTGGAGAACTCTTTTATGAAGATGGCTGGCGAGATCAAGAAGAGGATAGGACCTCCCAGCGTGGAAGGGGACAAGCCCCAGGTCAAGATCAAGCCCGGGGCAAGCGTCAACAAACCCCCTGATTCTGGCTGCTGTGGATAAAGTTTTCTTTCTTTAATGTGTCCATTTTTTATTATTTATACTAATTTTATTTTCCTATAACCTGTACATAGTTCCGCATTTGTGCCATGGTTACAAGTAATAAAGCATTCCATAAATGTCAATGTTAACCTTCATTATTTAAATCAACTTGAATATATTTTCATATAGGCGCATATATATGTTATAATTATACTCATGTTTTGATTTAATAACTAAGAATAAATCACTGTTGTTTTCTAAGTGATCTCTCATGTTTTTTCCTTCGACTGTATGTGTGGTTGTTAATTTATTTTCTATTCGAAGGATATTAATAGTAACGATGATATGTCATAATATATAAAGTAAATTTTGACAAATTTATTTACACATTACTGTTCGGTCAAGATCTCATGATCACACTAAAAAATCTCATGATAATATTCCGAGTACTGCCGTGGATTGAAAATGTGTTCTCCGTTCACTCATTTCATTTTATTTAGATGAAGATTTGCACAAACTTCTTATGGGGCTTTTTCGGTTGTGTTCGGGGCCTTACCAGATAGTTCGTCTACTTTCGGACACACTCGGTCATTCTCGTTATTAAATTTTAGTGCGATCCTTTGATCTTGTGCCACCCATCAAAGTGGAACAGCACTTGTACAGTAGTACCCTTTTGTATTTACTAATTCCAAATTGCTACTCCAAGATGGTTTAAAGATCGTTTTGAGGGTTCGCCGTAGATTGAATCCACTCATTCACATATGGAATCCTGAGGTATGTCCAAGTATTGCCATTAATTGTCAATCATGTCCCATGTCCAGGAAATATCCTTCATACATTTTTTGCATAAATGCCAGGAAGGTGATTCACTGTGAAAAACTGATTATGACGAAAACGGCACTTTATTATAGGTAATATCGCGTGTATTAGTTCCAAAAGTCATATGTAAAAATTCAGATTTTAGAAGAGCAAAACTGGTTATTTCTTTATGATTTATTAGTATAATTTCATAATCTATTCCATGGTAGTAGACTACTTATTGCATTTACAGACTACAAAATGTCAACTTTACCACAAATAGAATAAACGTAGAAAATTGTTACATACGAGCTTTTGCACTTACATTAGCGATATCTAAATTAACTGTTAACTATAGGTGGTAGAAAATGGAGAAACAAATTAAAAATATTAGTTTAATTTATTATTGCGACATTGATTCACTGTAATCACTATTATTTAGTTCTTAACATTGTAGTTGAAGAAAGTCATTAAAATTTTAAAATCCGACAAAAATAAATAATAACAGGAAAAGTTTAGAGAATGACCCGAAACATAAATTTTCTTCGAGAACTTCTCTGGAAGGAAGTTCAATTTTCGACTAATATCTGACAAACCTTTCGGTTTGCTTTGTTATAAAATTAAGTGAAAGTGATGTTTACTTGAGCTAATCTAACTTGAACATTCTACCACGAATATTTGTTGGTCGCTCATCTACGTTTGATTTCGGAAACACCCGGGTTGTTTTTATCTTTGTGATTTTACCTTGGAGTTGCGACACTGAACTACTACGGATTAATGTCTGTATAATAATCTAGAAGTAATGTATTTTGTTAAGTCATGTTCGATAAATTATTAAGGGGTGATTTATCAATATATTAAACTATTTCTCTTATAGATTTTGTTATTTAAAACTTGCCGTTTAAATTTATATTTTTAAAATTTCGTTTGTTGGTATTCCATGTTGTTTCCGAGGTTTTCAGCCTATTGTTGAATGGCTATATGAACTTCATGATGTATCAACTAACATATGGTCATGCTCAGATTTTAAGGTGTCTTAAGAAGGATCGGTGGTATGATCAAATACCTTCTCAGAGTATTTGATCATACCCATTTAGATTCGTTAGTACCTCAATCGCCTTTCTTCATATATTTCCTCCATTGTTGAAAGTCATTCCGTTGGAACCTCATCCGTACAAGAGATGACATGGCATCCTCGGAGGTCCAATAAAAGCAAAAGAGAAAACACTTTGATGGTCTAATGGTGGGCCTACCTGAGCCCGCCGATCCATCATTGTAATGAGGAGCGATTCGTTTCGTTCCGTCTTGTGGGTGGACAGCCAGCACCTGTTGAAGTCTCTAATTCTATAACCGCTTCTTACCAATTACCTATCTAGGATTCCTGTCTTATCAAGTTCCAAACTGCTTAATTATCTATCATGTTATAAAAATTAAAACATGTTTTTTTTTGTATGGGGCATAATTAAGGTTGGTAAAGCCGTTCCAGGTCTATATATATAGTTTCATGTTTTTTTCACATCGCTGTAAAATACGTTTTTCTAAAGGCATCGCTATAGCCTTGCTATTTATTTTTACGACGTAAAACCACATAGCGAGGGACACCTGTCAAGTCTCACATTGTTGATATAAGTAAACATTCCATGACTGTCAAAGATGACCTGTTCACATTCCTGTTTTCAACTTCACATAATGATGTATGTTCAAAACATTTTCACATATTCACGATAATTTGTATTTATTTCACGGTCTTTACGTTATGTAATTTATGTACATGTTGCTATGCAATGCCTTTCACACTTTTCTAGCTGAACTTCTTTCCGATTTTCTAAAAGCAAAGCTCCTTGACCTTACAAGGTCATCGACGTAGCAACATAACCGTTACCCGCATAGAGTTATAATTATTTATGAAGAGAAGAATAGTTGGGGTGTCAGATCCAAACAAGCAGGCAAAAATAAATATTATCATTTATTTTTGCCTTCCTTTTTGACTGACCACTCCAACTATTCTTCTCTTCATTATCCACGACAGTCAACCATTTACCAATTATAATTATTTATATTTCATACAAATATGCGATGAAACAAATCATTATCCCACGGTTCTTATTATTACGAGCGGTTCTTAAAAGTTAATCTATGTTGTTATGGAGATTTTCTTCAATTAAATTTCGACTCGAATACTGTGGTAAGCAGTGATTTTCATTGGCTTTGAAAATCATGTAGTTCTTTTGTCCGCCTGTATATTTATCTGCAGGTAGTCCTATAGCATATTTGTTGATTCGATTTTGATTTTGAACATAGGTTTTTATGAATGATTTTAATTGTGATTAAATATGGAACATTTTTTTTTTATAATTGATTATTAATACATTCTGCAACATTAAAAGGCATTAATATTAAGGCTACATAAATCATTCACATAGTATGTACATACAAATAATAGAAATAATAAAGAAAAAGAAGTATAGGAAAATAAAATAAGTAAATTAATATGTCTGGGTACAAAAAATGAAATAATAGATAAAAGCTAAATAAAATTAAAGTAAAAATCAAAACACATTCCTACTATATAAAGACTATTTACATTCACCCGCGAACTCTGAGTCATGCTTTATCCCCCAATGTGAAGCCAAGGCAGGATCCAGGAGACCAGTGTTTCACTCCGCAGCCGCGTCACTGGTATTCAAACCAGTGGAAACTGAAAGAGAGCACTAGAGCAATAGACGGCTCTTGGACCTGAGTAGAGGATCTGGCCATTGCCAGAAACTCCATATCTATAAATATTTATTAGAAGATCGCGGGGCCACTGCCGTTTTAACCATCACGAGGAAGATTGGGGGATGGCTGGAGCGATATAGGATTGTGCACAGAATTTGGATGATGAGAGGTTTCTGGTGAAATTGTTAAAATTTGTCTGGGATTAGGTCCAAGAAGAAATGGGATAGTAAGATCATTTTTGGAAGATTTTATGTAACATAGGAAGGGAGCATCGACTATTGATCGTAGGACTTTATACTGGAAGGATTGATAGCTTTTGATATTTATAAGGTTGCTGTCACCGCCATAGTTCTATTCCGTAGGTTCAAATAGGTTTCAGGATTGTCTTGTAAATTAGTAGTTTGTTGTCGACTGAAAGTTGAGATTTTCTATTCAATAGTCCGTATCGTCTGTTAAGTAGCTGTCTTTTAAGTAAATATGGAACATTGAGGATTTTACTAAGAAGAATTTGGCAGAGATTGGAAAGTTTGGTGGACTCTCAAAGCACAACTCCGTAATTCCATATAGCCATTATTATGTTATATAAAAGAGCCTTTTGTAATTGATTTGAATGCTTAGAACGTTTGTCTTGTAAGTTTTGGAGCAGTCGGAAACGTCGATTTCTTGTCGTTCTTGTATCATGTCGGTTAGTTTCTTATCGTTTCAGTCTTGTGTGCGGATTACAAGCAAGAAGTTTGTCCAAGAATATTCCTAGGTTGCGGATTTGTTCAACAGAGGCAAGTGAAATATTATTGGAAGAATCATATACAATAAACTGTGGTTTTATTGTTAACTATTACATTAGAGCTAGAGATAATAATGGTTTGACGCCATCGACTAATGAAGAGGACATTGACCCGTGAAAAGAGCCATCGATATGAGCGGTAACAATCGCCCTGTTGCACCCCCGGGAGGGGAAAGTGATGTGGTTGGCAGCACTGCCTCCCCCTCCCTTATCCTCCCGCTGATCGATATGAGACTGTTAGACCACTCCCAGCCGCCCCCACCTATCTTCCACCTCTGTTGTGTATATGGATTGTATTATGCTCCAGTGGATCTTGCTTATACAACCATCTTCAATTGTATTATAGTTTACTTCGTTGTCGTTATAACGTTTTATTTTCATTAATAGGAAGGGATCATGTATACTATGGTAGTGATCGTGAACATGACTTCATTGTCAGGTTATTTCGAAATTAACCAGTTATTATAACTATGTTTAATCAAGGCAATAATCACATAATACAATTTTATGTAAATCGAGTCTGTCCAAACGTCCTCTTACATATGACCGATAATCTCCTAATGGATTATATCACTAGCGGATCCAGGATTTAATTTTGAGGGGAGCTTCAGCCCGAAATGTTCCGAAAGAAAGAATATACACATACATACATAACGATTATTGCTTTGAAAGAAACTAACTACCTATATGAAATGACAACTTGGCCCGTGCGAATAATTCCCAGAAAATGTTGTTTAGTGAAGAAATAGCAAAACAATATGGAAATAAGTAGATCCTATTTATTATGTAAGGAAGGAATTAATATTTTTTCCTTGGTCGATTACAATATTACATTAAACATTAACAGACAAAAATATATGTACAA